TTCTTAGATGAATATGATGATGACATGTGTCCTTTTATGATAATGAAATAATCATAATTAGGCCGGACGGGTTATATTGTGATAATTATCAATAAAAAATAACAAAAAATAAGAGTTTTATATAAAATGTGATTGATTTTATTAGGTAATTTTTAGAGTTTTATAGAAACTATAATTATCCATAAAAAATAACTAAAAATAAGAGTTTTATATAGAATGTGATTGATTTTATTAGGTAATTTTTAAAGTTTTATAGAAATTATTTTTGCAAAAACTATTTTTATATCAATTAATAAATTTTTTTTTTTATATAAATAAATAAATACTGAAATACTAAAACACTTTACACATTTAATAAATATATATATATGCGCCCAGTCCATCTTGAGCGGCCCAATTGGTTTATGTCAATTTATAATTAAAGTTGCCTAGATCTAATGAAAGACGTGGGTTAAAATATCAATGCATTCTCAGACCAATATATATATATATATATATATATATATATATATATATATATTTTGTTACTTTCTTCAAACAATTTTTTTTTTTTTTCACTTTCTTTTCAGTATGGAGTGTTACATAATAGTTCTCAAACAATTTTTTTATCTGCAATCTCACTTCCTAGTGGAGGGTTTTTTTTTTTGTTACTTTCTTCAAACAATTTTTTTTTTTTTTTTTTTTCACTTTCATGTTTACATTTGTTTTACAACTGATTTGCATCACTCATTCTCTCTCGATCTGATCTGCAATCTCACTTCCTGCTCCATCTCACTAAACAAATTCATAGGTCTCTCTCTCTTACATCTGAATTTTTATTATTGTCTCACTTCATCATTTGTCACTCAAAAAGCACATGATTCCCAGACCGGTTATTTAAAGTGAATTGTATGACTTACAAGTTTTGACTCTCACCTTTCATATATTTGGTAAAGATGACAGAATCAAAACTTGTAAGTCATACAATTCACTTTGAAAGTTCGGTCATGAGAGTTCGATCCAAATATTACAACTCCACTCAAAAAATCAAATTTGTTTTATCAAAAGAATATGCACGTGTTGTTTGGACATCAAAGAGGATGTGTAGAGAGACGAACATTGAGAACTATTTGTTCTAGTAATTGCTCTATGTTTAACTTTGAGTGGAAATTTTCTTTAATTATTATTATTTTTCAACTAGGAGAATTTTGTCAGTTTGTCTCGTAGTCTTTTTCTCATTTATTGTTGGAGGGTTTTTCCAAATTAAATACTAATTTTGTAAATGCAAAACAACTAGAAAAATTAGAATCAGCCAAACTAGAACCAATAAAAATTTAATTGGTGTATCTTTTTCATCTCCATGAAATATGTACATATTACAAGAAATAGTACTAACAACCACATGCTACATGTTGACTAACATATCTATTTACAAAATTATGATAAAAGGCTTAAAAGCAAAAACACTTGAGATAAAAATAAGTAAAAACCAAAGTGGCTTTGGCCTAATGGTGTAACCTCTCATCTTCAAAGAAGATGGGACGGGTTCAAGCTCCGGCGTGGGCAAAAATGTGTGTGTGTTTATTCTACCATTCAAAAAAAAAAAAAAAAAAAAAAAAAAATGTAAAAGAGAAGAAAATTAACAACATTATCAATGAGAGATTGAGAGAATCCAAATATAAGCCAGGTTTAAAAAGTTGGAATTGGATTTTTCAGATTATAAAATTATATGAAAACAAAAATATTTTTAGATTATACATATTAACTTTATATCCGATTTAAAGTAAGAACTATAATACTATGGTGAAACACAAACACTTAAAAAAACACACATAAATATACTAAAAAGAACATGAATTACAAGATTGTGGAAACACAAAAGAGAAGAAGAAGATTTGTTATGTCACTCATATTCAAAGTCATGATAACTCGTAAAAAATAAGAATAATTACAAACGCAAGCATCGAACACATTCGGTCATTTCTGAAAATTGCATTTAAATGCAAAAAATAAAAATAAAAATAAAAAAAATAAAAAAATAAAAATAAAAATGTGTGGACCCGCCATGTAGCGAGTGCCACAGCAGCACCAACCACCCAAGCCTAATGTGACTTGAATTCTACACTATACTTTTATTGAAAATTCCAATTGGTGGTATATTCTATATTGGTATGCATATATATACCAATCTATATCTCCCAATTCTCTCTCCCCTTAACCTGGCAAAATCATTTCATTCAAAACAGAGGAATCAAAGGTCAGTACATAATTCAGAGTGCAATACACTAACAGTCCATTCTGGCCACAACTTTCTACTCTAAATCACCTCTTTTGCATTTGAGAGTATGCTGAATTGGTAATTGAACAACAGTTTTACCTCCTCTTGAAGTCCAAATGTCTATTGTTTTGCAAATTTTATCTTATATAGACGATGATAGATCAAAGTACCAATTGGGAATAGATCAGACATATTATAAATACATATCAATAAATATTCTACAAATAATAATTTCGTATAAGATTTTGTTATTGTCTTGTAAAATGACATTTATGATGTTGTATAATTTCACTTTACATTTGCCACTATGTAGGCATGTTAATTTAACACAGGGCGAAAGTGGTGATTGTTTTCCTGTTTTTTCTTATTTAACTTATATTTGGTTAAGTACTTCATTTTAGTTTTCTTTTACATAACTCTTTTTTTTTTTTTTTTTGGAGAAAAACTTAATTACGCCGGTTGTAGTGATGACATGGTATCACCAATTTATATAGGACCGACTGAATTATGTTTGGTTAGCGGATTTAATTAAGAGAAGGAAATAAAATATTTTTTAAAGGAATGCAAATTTTTTTTTTTAGGAAGGTGTGGTATAAGAGTCATATTGGAGTGTACTTTTAGGATTAATAAAAAAAAAAATCAATCATGTGTATCATAATATGAATGGAAAGTGGTCAAAGTTTTAATATAGGGACAAGTTGTTCACTTTTGAAACTACAATAATTGAATTGCTCACTTTCATACCATAAGGGGTATTGTGCTCATTTGGTGAGAGTTCAAATTTTATTTTATTTTATTATTATTATTTTTTTTGCACTTTCACAAAAAAAATAAATAAATAAATAAATAACAATAATAATAATAATAATAATTAAAGATATGCAAAGTTGGCTTTAAATATCAATGCCTCTACGCAAACCATGAATCAACAGAGCACTAGTCCTAAAAGGATCAAATGATAACGCCTCCCCCCAATCAAAACCACTTAATTAATTAATACAAATATGAAAGGTTGATCAAACTAATTATTTAATATCTTTGGTTGCTTCTAGTCTTCCACGTTTATTGACCACATAAAAGGTGTACAATTTATATAAAAACTTGTATCTATCTCATTAACAACAAATCATAATGAAAGACATGCAAGTTGTCTTTAAAAATAAAAAATATTCATTGAAGGCGAGCCAACCAATCAATAGTTTTAAAAAGAAAAAATAGTCAAGAAATACACATTTACACATTTTTTTTACTCCTATAGAGACTTAAATCTAATTTTTTATTTTGAGAAGACTACACCTAAACCATTGATACAAATATTCTTGTTAAAAAATCCCAATATGAAAGGTTCTCAAAATAATAATAATATATATATATATTTTTAATATCATTTGTTGAAACTACTCATACAGGTAGTTCACCATTCCTAATCAATGCATCCACGTAGCAAGAGCCAAAACTAGCAATATTTTTAAAATGAAGAAATACTAATCCCTCTACCAAACGATGCCACTATGCTAATGCCCAAGTGATTTACTTCAATTTATAATTCAAGTTGCCGGGATCAAATGAAAGACAACCGAACAATAGTTTAAAATAATCAAATGAGTCCGCCAATTTTGACCACTTAATTATTATTTTTTATTTAATACAAATATGAAAGGTTTTCAATTTAATTATTTTTTAATATCTGTTGTTGCTTCTACTCTTCCTCCTTTAGGTCGACCAATAAAACATTTTCTAGGTGTGGCTGAATGTACTTAGTTATGCAATGACGAAGGATTTAAATTATTTAATTTATTTTATATTTTTGTTACTTTCTCTAAACAATCTAGTTTTTCCGCTTTTTTTTATTCATTCCCTTTTTATCTCTTCTAATTTTTTTTTTTTCCTAATCTTTCTTGTTTACAACTAATTTGCGTCTCTCATTCTCTCTTCATCTGCTATCTATCTCACCTTCTGATCCATTTCACACTCTTTCTGATATATTTTCCTGTTTGTAAAACTTTGCTACCTTCGTCCGAACAAATCCATCAGCAATAAAGGTTCTCTTCTTTAATTAGTTTCTTCATCAATAATAGTCGGAGCTCTCCATCTGCATTTCTGTTGCGTCATTTGTTGTCTAAAATCTCTTTTTCGTTTGAATCACTTTTCTTTATCTTTCACTCTCACTTGCTAGTCACTCTGTATCTGAGACACCTTACTAGCTCCATCTAGACATATCCATAAGCTAGAGGTACGTTCAAGTCACTGCTTTAGTTTCTTCAACAATAACAGATATTTGTATTCAATCATCTCAATAATCAGAGCTCTCTGCATTTCTGTTGTGCCATTTGTTGTTTAAAATCTTTGCTTCTAATCTTCATTAAACTCTGCAGACATTTGTTTTAGTTGTAATATCTTTTGTATTCAATCATCTCCTGTGTCCTTTTTTTTTTTTTTTTTTTTTTTTCCCCTTCCTTTTTGTTGCTTTTAATCTTTTCTCAGTGCAGTCTTCTTTTTTTATATTTGTTTTTTGGTCTCTAGCTCTCTTTGAATTCGAACCTCTATCTGAAATATCCTCTTAGCTTTTCTGCAATATTTGAATTTCTCTTTCTCCCTCCCTTCCTCGCTCGATCTCTCGTGTGTGTCATAATTGTGAATCTTCACTTTTCGTTATCATTCTACTCACTTTTTAAAAAAATAATAATAATAAAAACTAGTGAGTGAGTTGAAAATGAGTTGTTGTATAGATGATGTTGTGGGAATGGTATTACAGAAAATATTTGACGGTTTGTCCGAATCGATTGGGCGAGAAATTGATTATTTCCTTAAATACAAGGAAAATATTGGGAATTTGGAAGAAAAAGTAAACGATCTTAAGGATGAGAGGGAGACGGTCCAAGCAGCTGTTGATATAGCCAAGGCCAATGGGATGACCATTAAGAAGGTTGCTGAGAAGTGGCTGGAGGAAGTGCAGCAGTCATTGACGCCTATGGAAGAAGAATTTCAAGACAAAGAAAATGTCAAATGTCATGATGTATGTTCGCGTATAGGCTTGGTAAGAAAAGGAAAGAGATGGTGGACAGGGCTATCAAACTAAAAGAGAATCGCAATAAGTTTGGCGATGAAGTTGCGTACACAACTCTTCTCGAAGATATCTGGGACACATCCAGCACAAGCTATGAGCATTTTGAAACCAGAAAATTGGTTTTCGAGGAGATCATGGAGGCTTTGAGAGACGATAGGAATTCCAAAATTGGGATATGTGGAATGGCAGGTGTAGGAAAGACTACAATGGTGGAGGAAGTCGGCAAACAAGTTGGAAAAGGTCCTTTTGATGAGGTCGCAATGGCAGTTTTCTCCCAGAATCCAGAGCTGAAAAAAATCCAAGAAAAACTCGCAGATTGTTTAAATCTGAAACTAGAAAAAAAGAGTGAAGATGGGAGAGCGGGTGAACTATGCAATAGATTGAAGAATGGGAGAAAAATCCTTGTAATATTGGATGACGTTTGGGATGACAAGATTACATTGAAGAAAATAGGAATTCCAATAGATACAGATGATAACAGTATGGGTTGCAAAATTTTGCTGACCTCTCGAAGACTAGAAGTGTGCAAAAAGATGGGGTTTGACCAAACCTTCCAAATTGGACTCCTTTCCGTATATGAAGCTTGGCACCTATTCAAGAGAACGGTTGGAGATTTTATTGAAGCTGATCCTGAAATTCATTTTATAGCACAAGTGTGCAGAGAATGTGATCATTTGCCATTGGCAATTTGTGCAGTTGGAGGAGCACTGAGCGGTTTGGATGATAAGTACATATGGAATGATGCACTTGAACAACTGAAATACTGTCAAGGGTACAAAATTGATGGAGTGGACGAAAAGGTGTATTCATGCATTGAGTGGAGCTACAGGTATCTGAAGCGTGCAGATGTGCAGTCATGCTTTCTACATTGCTCTTTGTTTCCTGAAGATACTGAGATTGCTATTGACCTTTTGGTGCCTTTTGGAGTAGGAACGAAGTTTCTTGGAAGCACGGATAGAGCATCAATGAAAAAAGCAAGAGATAGAACACTAGTGATAGTTGGTATCCTCAAGAATTCTAATTTGTTGTTAGAAGGTAGAGATGGAAACAAGGTCAAAATGCATGATGTAGTTAGAGATGTTGCCATATCAATTGCATCAAAAGATAAGAATGCATTTCTAGTGCAAGATGGTGTTGATGTTTGGCCAGATAAAGATGATTATACATGTTGCAAAGCAATCTCATTAAGGGCTTCTTGCAATGTTCGTCGGCTTCCCGATCAGTTAGAATGTCCAGAACTACGCACCTTAGTATTGTGATTATCCAATGATTCACTACTAGAACTTCCAAATAGCTTTTTTGAAGGGATGAAAAAGCTTGAAGTTTTGGTTTTGGACAACATGAAACTAGCACCATCATCACTTTTACATCTGGTTGGTCTACGGATGTTGTGTCTAAGTGATTGTGAATTGGTGAACCTATCTTTCATCAAAGAATTGAAAAACCTTGAGATACTGGTCATTGGTTATATTTATGAATTCAAAGAGATGATTGTGGAAATAGGACAGTTGACTTCTTTACGGTTGTTGGATTTAAGAGAACTCAAAAAAGATATAGGATTTCCGTCAAGTTTTCTGTCATGTCTATCTGACCTGGTGGAGGAATTGTACATTTCGAAGGACTATGATGGATGGGAGGATGAAGGCAATGCAAGCATTGTTGAGATAAATTCTTTGACTAGCTTAACCGCTTTACATATTTATATACCAGAAGACGTCTTCTTACTACTGCCCAAGGACCTTCCTAGCTTCCAGTTGTTAACGAAATATACAATATTGATTGGGTCTTATCCTTTTGAATATAAAGAGCTTGACCGATACACAGAAACAAAGTCTTTAGGACTTAATAGTATTTGTGATACCCCCGAATTTTCGGATGCGGGTTGGCCAGGCCCACGCTCGATAACCCGAGGATATTAAATCAATTAGCAATAATCGAATACAGAATACAAATAAGAAAAGAGAAAAATAAAAAAAAATAAAATAAAAATAAATAAATAAATTGCTGAAAAGAAACTAGAATAATAATCCAAAAAATCTCAGAATAAAATTTAATTAACAAAGAATGATTCTGATACATCCTACTACTCCATTCCTATTACAATTCGGGAATCCATCTAGTGGACCCCTAAAATATCTCACTGAACTCAAAAGATTGGAAATGAATCCCAAGTCTAAAATATGAAATAAAACCCTGGTCATCGGTGGAGTGAATAACTGTATCTGCTCAGCACGATCCAGCTCTAAGTCTGGAACTATGGATATTTAAATTAAGTGATTAAGATTAATTATTAATATTAGACCAGTATTTGAAATAAGCTTTATTTTATTTTAGTTTTTTAGGCAAAAATAGGCATTTAGACAAGTTTATTTCCTAAAAAATTCTTTTGAAAAAAATAATCATGTCATTCTGCATGAAATAAGGTTAATTAAAAACATAATACCATTACTGTTATCCTTTTCTTTTTCTTTTACGTGAGTAACATTTATGTTGTTAATTTTATTAGGCTTCATACTGTGAAGTTAATTTTAATTTCACAAGTTCAATGCTTTTGATGATTTTTTTTTTTTTTTTTTTTTTTTTTTTGGGACTAATTCAGCCTATTTTGATCTTGGGCTGGGACTTCATTTCCCGGCGCAAAGAAATTCATAGTCAAAGCAATTTGATTTTAGATAAAAAGTCACACTGATATATAACCTTGTTGTGCTATCTAACTGTTGTGAGATGCTTCGTTTTTATCCCCTCGTGTTAAATCTAATGCTTGGTTTTGCTGTCATCTTGCCCATTTTGTTCATTTTAATCCCTGCATCCTTTGGCAGAGCTTCATTCTTTAATTTGCAATTCAAAATCCGCTCTTGACTCTTGTGATTTTTTTGCTTCCATATCCATAACTCTTGTCGATTGTGTGGTTCTATCTCTTTCCCAATTTGGTCTTATATCCAGTCCTTGTATCGATTTAATTATAAATTATCAAAAAATTGTCTGAGAGGAACAAGCATGCATTTAAGAGGAAGGTCAAACTCAGTTTTTTTGGGCCACTAATTAAATTTGATTTGCTGGGCTCAGTCACCAGGTGCATTGGACCCTCATTGTAAATTTATATTTATCTTCCCAAACCAAGAATCAATTATATATATTTTTTGATAAGTCAAACCAAGAATCAATTATATTCCACTATAAGTAAGACAAATATGGGGGTCGATCCATCCTTGGTTAAATGTAGTGCTTATTCCTATTGTTTCTTGGTAAGGAGATTCTCGTGTTCCCTCACTTAAAGACTATAGGACTTGAGCACTTGCCAAACCTGAAAAGTACCTGAAAAGAAGCCCGACTTGTAGCCCTCGTTAAATACAAGGTACGTTATGTCCTAACTCTTAATTAACCATGCATATATAGGGTACTGAAAATCCCTCTACATTGTTAGAACCTTTCCAGCTTCACACAGAAATTATAATAATTTCCAATGCTCCCTTTATCAAATTAAACTATTTAATTTCTTTTACTCTCTTATTCTCTCTCCTCCCCATACCAGCTGGTACGTAGTCCCTTTATTTTTCATCTCCACAATGGTGTCTACACATAGCTGCTCATATCCCCAGTAAAATTTACTAATTTGTTGTTTCACTTAATCAATTATATATTCTGAGATAAAATTATTAGGGTAAATTACACTGACCTCCCTTGAGGTTTCGTCAAGTTACATTGACCTCTCCTCTTGTTTGCCAAATAACCATGACCTCCCTCAAAATTTATATACGTATAACAAGGATCTCCCCTCCATTAACGGAAAATATTGTTACTAACAAAAAATGATGATGTCATCAAATTTTTATTTTCAAATTTCCATTCTACCCTTCCAAGATATGTAATAAATTAATTAAAATGTCTAAACTCTCCCTTTCTCTCTCCGAAAACCCATTTCCATGACCAAAGCATTAATTTTATTTTATTTTATTTTTATTTATTTATTATTATTATTTTTTCAGAACTCCAATTTTCCACCACACAAAGCCACACACAAACAGATCTATATATATATATATATATATATATATATATATATATATATAACAAATAATTTTAAGAAAATAAAAAATAATATTCTCAACAACTTACGCACACAAACACATATACATATTACATACGTATTCCCCTATGAAGCACGGATACGACACGACACGGATACGGTGACACTGAAAATTTCAAAAAAATAGGACACGGACACGACGGGGATACGCCTATAAAATTATATATATATATATATATATAATTATATATTCAAAAGATAATTATTAGAATCTTGTACAGATAAATAAAATAACAATAAATAACAGAATCAATTTCAATAATTTCATCTCTGTTATAAGAACAATATAGACAAGATAAAATAAAAAATAAATGAAAAATAAAGTTGATCCAAATTCCAAGCGAAGATGTGCAGAAGAGACATAGCTATAATGAACTAAATATGTATATGAATAAACATATATACTTTCAGTTTTTCACAAAGTTTTGTTCATGTAACTTATATATATATCTTGTTCATGAAGAGAGATAATTGAAGAAGAGGAGAGACTGAGAGAAGAGTGAGAGAAAATAAATTTTGTCTCACAGAAGTGTCGGACCGTATATCCGAGCCTCGAACACGTGTGTCCAATAAAAAATAATATTTGGACACTTTACAGAAGTGTCGGACTCGGACACGGGTGTCGGTGTCCGAAAAGTGTCCGACACTGGTACGGGGCCCCTGTGAGGAGTGTTCGTGCTTCATAGGTATTCCCCCCTCCTCTCCATTTCCTCCGGCCACCACCACCTCCACCATCCTCAACCACCATCTTCTCCGGCGATCAACCATCACCACATAAACCCACACACACACACACACACATAACAAAAAAAAGGGGTTCAAATAGTGATTTGCAAAAAGAAAATTATTTTGGCAGCCACCACTACCACCCTTAACCACCATCATTTCCCTGTCTAACCTTTCTTCTGTCTACCCGGCCAACACCACCGACGGCCGCCACCGCTCACCCCATCTTTCTTTCTCTCTCTTCACTCACCACCGCAACCACCACCCCCACAACCACCACCCTCTTCTCTTAATATGGGTTGCTATATAGTATATTATTTATCCATATACATGCATATATATATATATATATATAAACCTATTCTCTCAATCTGGGTGTATACGAATTAGAATTTTCTGTTTAAAGATGTGGGATGTATTCCCCAATTCACACTTAATCTGATCTAATTCCTCAATTTCACTCGCATCAATTCGAATATTCACGATAATTACCATCAAATTGTTGGGAATTATGAGTTCGATTTTGTGGACGAGCTTGTTCGAGCCTCCGATTGCATTGAAGACCAAGGCCTGGAAAAATCCCCAGTCCGATCAAGCCCTCACTCGAATCTGTCGCCATCACCACTGGAAAATCAGTGCTCCATCCGCCTTCTCTGCCGCCGCCGCCACTTACCAACCACAGAAGTTATAGAACCCTTATTTTGGGTCTGCTTAGGTGAAGGATGAGAATTAGATTTGAGAGATGGGCTTTTTCGTTTTTTAAAATTTGTCATTTTTGTAATAAAATACCAATAAATATAATGTGGGCAATTTCGGAATTTCATTCCATCAGTTAACGCCATTCATTCAACACCTTTAATAGGGGAGGTCAATGTTATTTGGCAAACAAGAGAGGAGGTTCATGTATATTGATGAAACTTCAGGGGAGGTCGGTGTAATTTGCCCTTATATTTATAGTATAAAATTACAAAAATATATATAATCAATAAATATTCTGATTTTCTTGTAATTTTCTGAAGTTTTCTACATCCTTCACTTAACTTGGAAATAAAAAATGAATGACAAATTGGATGCATCATTCCATATCTAGTGGAATCATTAATAAATTAGGAACTATAATGTGACTTATCAAAAAAAAAAAAAAATAGGAACTATCATGTGAAAAAATAAAAAATAAAAAATAAAAAGCATTAGTGGTGAAGCACATGTTAATTTGTAAAGACGGTAGGGAAGGTTTAAATTGGTTGAGAGACTAAAACTACGCTTCCCTCCACGCCTTTTTTCATAGTAGTTGTTAGTAACACCATTAGATTGACCTTTTTGCAGGTCAGATTTCCTAATTTGGAGGATTTGGATCTACGTCGACGGTGTGTTGAAATAAGTGGGGTAGGCTCCATCCACAAGTAAAAAATAAATAAATAAATAAATAAAAAATAAGACAGAAAC